TATATATATATATATATACACACACACACAAACACACATATGTAAAAGAAAAACATGTATATAAAAGAAAATTAAGTATGAGACCAAACAAGGTTCAGCTTCGTTTGCTGTGACTTGAACAAGGCTGGTGACCTGTCGGTCTCATAGCAGAAAACACAACCCAGAGAAAAATCAACACTGCAGTTTTGTTGTTTTTTTTTAAAAAAGAAACCCTATAATTTAATTAACAAAATTCACATTGCACAAAAGTACAATGATAACTGTACACTTGTTTCTCTGCAAATGTCCCTTGGTAAATTACTGTCATCTTTTATAGGCAGGCATAACTGGACACACTTTACAATCTTTCTGATAAATATATCGCCACTTTGCATCCAGCTTGGATAACGCTCTTCAGGACGGCATAGGCTGGAGCCTGTTAAAAACAATAAGCAAACAAAGAAACATGTTTTGTGCTCATTTTTGGTTGTAAGATTCAGGGCTGGCAGGGCAGGCTTTGGATTTCTCGGGATAAAAAATAGATCTAAGGAACAATTTATTTTAGTTTCGAAGAAAGCTATTCAAAATGTTGGAATGCCTCTGCTACTGCCAAAGCATTGGAGTCATCCAGATTCTCACAGAAAAGGAAATGAAGCTCCTGGGAGGCCAAGGCGGGCAAATCATCTGAGATCAGGAGTTCGAGACCACCCTGGCCAAAAAAGCGAAAACTCGGTCTCTACTAAAAACAAAAAATACAAAAATTAGCCAGGCATGGCAGTGTGCACCTATAATCCCAGCTACTCGGGAGGCTGAGGCAGGAGAATTGCTTGAACCCGGAAGGCAGAGGCTGCAGTGAGCCAAGACTGCACCACTGCACTCCAACATGGGCGACAGAGTGAGACTGTCTCAAAAAAAAAAAAACATTCCTGGGGAAAACGAGAAGGGATAATGCATGAAAGGAGATTCCCAATCTGGAGCAATAACGCATTTCCTTGCTTTTTGTCAAAGCAACATCATTGGTTTTCTCTCCTTTTGGCTGTCGCTTTAAAATTTATTCTTCTGGGAACAGAAACCTCAACCTCCCAAATAAGGAGTCCCAAAGCAGAACAGGTAACAGTAGGGCCCTACCAATTCGGCATCATGTTCAAGGCCTGTGTCATGGTGCTCAAGCTCTTCATCCCGAAATTTCTTTATCACCTGGTTAAATAAAAAGACACCAAAGCAAGTTAGCCTTCCAACTCTCCTACTGTTCCATTTCATTTTGGAGGCTAAAGCCTCTTATTATGGCCTAAGACAGGGAGGCCAGCTTTTCCTCTAAAGGGCCAGGGAGTAAATACTTTGTCCCAACTACCCAACTCTGCCACTGTAACCAGAAAAGCAGCGGGAGACAAGCAAATGGACATGCTTGTGTTCCAACAGAAGTTTATTTAAAGAAACAGGTGGCTGGCCACAGGCCATAGTTTGCCAACCTCAGATTTAGACTCTAAAAAACTAAACAGTTCCCTTATTTGCTGTGGAAAATTATCTCAGGATATCTATTCATTTATTTAATCTAAAGGGTTCCTGCTCACAGCATCTGCTCAGAATCTACCAATGATAAAGAAGTGGGCAGGGTGCGGTGGTTCACGCCTGTAATCCCAGCACTTTGGGAGGCCAAGGCAGGAGGATCACCTGAGGTCAGGAGTTCGAGACCAGCTGGTCAACATGGTGAACCCCCATCTCTACTAAAAATACAAAAATTAGCTGGGCATGGTGGTATGTTCCTGTAATCCCAGCTACCTGGGACGCCGAGGCAGGAGAATTGCTGGAACCCAGGAGGCGGAGGCTGCAGTGCAGGTGGAGACCACTGCACTGACAGAACGAGACTCCATCTCAAAAAAAAAAAAAAAATGAACAGCACTAGGTGGTGTGGCTCACACCTGTAATCTCAGCACTTTGGGAGGCCGAGGCAGGAGGATCACTTGAGCCCAGAAGTTCAAAACCAATCTGGGCAACAGAGAGAGACACTGTCTCTACAAAAAATTCAAAAAATTAAAAATAAAAGTGAACGGGACAGGGCTCAAGAGACAAGGGTTCTGGCCAGATGTGGTGGCTCATGCCTATAATTCCAGCACTTTGGGAGGCCGAGGAGAGAGGATCACCGGAGCCCAAGAGTTCAAGACCAGCCTGGAAAACATGGTGAGACCCCATCTCTTAAAAAAAAAAAAGGCCAGGAGCGGTGGCTCACGCCTGTAATCCCAGCACTTTGGGAGGCCAAGGCGGGCGGATCACCTGAGGTCC